CAGCCACTCTATCTTATGTGAAATTGCGTATGCAAAGCAGTTTTCTGTGATGATTGTGCTAAAATCCAGGCAGGAGGATAGACATTATGGTTTGTCCTGTTCTCCAAAGAATGCGGTCGGTCATTTAAGCCTTTCACTCGGATCCTGCAACTCAACACCGCCACGGTCGCCAAAGGTATCGAAGAGGTAAAACTCCACTGGACCTCCAAAACGGCCGAAAATACTCTCTACTCACTTGGCATTATAAGTAGTCCAAATGGGGTTTGGAGTAGACTTACCCCAAACTATCACATTGGCACGATTGTCATGTTCTGTTTGAGCTGAGTCGTCTGGATCAATATATCGGAGCATAGATTGTCCCCTCGAAATGTAGTTTTCGTTGCCACCAGGGCAACAGCGGATCAAGATTGTCAAGTCGTGGGAGTATGCGTACGTAACTGTTTAGAGAAGAGTTTGCGAATGCGTGCGAGCCGAAGCTGAGCTGGTTCAACAGGCTGCTCCTGCATCTGATGGGATCGTTGTGGCCAGTAGTCGCCAGGCGATCAGATTTGCTCGTCTCCAGTTGCCATGCGATGAGCATACCGAGGAGGGGACAGTGGCGCAGCCTGACACGAGGTGTGAAGAGGCGAGGCGAGGCGAGGCGGAGACGGCGTGAAACGGAGTGGAGCAAAGTGGAGAAGCGAGTGGGGAAGCTTTGCGACAGGACACCCGGACAATCGGAACCGCGGGTGCGTGTGATGCCGTCGACGCGTTGAGGGTAGATTCATGCAAATCTAGTTGGCGGCAGGCCTGGACGGCGGCAAGTGATATCTCCCAAAGCGGAGGTCACCTACAGGCCTAGGCGTATCAAGTGTGGGGACGGCACAACGACGAAACCAAGGTGGGGATCACACAGTCAGTCAAGAAGCCATGTACCCTCTGTTTACGCCGATTGGGCCTGCATAGATAGGCATGATGAATTGGTGAATAGTCGTGTACAGATAGCAATGTGAAGTTCTGTTCTGTTCTGTTCTGTTAGCGTCTCTTCACAATGTTCATGCCTGTCTGTTGGTGTGTATTTCTGTCTGTTCGTGTGTGTGTGTGTATGTGTGTGTTGGTCGGTTGTATGCAGCCATGTGGCTATGCATGGCTTCCTGTATGTCTGCCTGTATGTCTGTCTACCGGCTTGCCTACTTGACTGCCTGGGCGACATGAGTCGATGAGCCAGTAAAACCGACACCATGGCACCATGTGGATGGCGTGGTGTAGCGAAATGTCGACCCGTCGGGCACATGTAGACGAAAGAGGGGGGCCAACCGTGGTGTCCAGCCCAAGGTGCAGTGGTGACGACCCAGCCACGTCAGACAGACTGGCCGGCCAGTTGGCTGGCTGGGTGGCTGGGCGAATAGCGACCGAATGCAGTGCGGATAATTCACGTCCGAGGATAGTGTGTCACGAGTTGGGGCCGAATGTCTATCGGGCTCAGTTTCTCTGACTCGACTATGCAATGAAATTTACGACCCAGCGCTTCGTGGCATGTAAATGATTTCTCAGCTTTACCGAACCGATCGAGACAGTGAGTTGATAAAGAGAAGAAAGGAGAGAGGAGAGAGGAGAGGAGAGGAGAGGAGAGGAGAGGAGAGGAGA